GTAAAGTATTTTTGGAAATACATCTTAGAACATTTAGCCTATTGCAATAGTGAATTCAATGACATCACCTTTTAATTTTTATATTTGTATTAAATTAAATAAAAGTGCATACATAGAGCCATGTTAGCACTTGGCTTTGTTAAATGGAATGTAATTCCCAAGTAACCCAACAATTGTTTGTGTATTTTTAAATACACCGGTTTTCTTTTTTTCTTTTTTTTTTTTAAGGTTTACTTACTTATTTGCCAGAGAGAGAGAGAGAGAGAGCACAAGCAGAGGGAGAAGCAGACTCCCCACTGAGCAAGGAGCCCGATGCAGAACTTGATCCCAGGACCCTGGGATCATGACCTGAGCCAAAGGCAGACACTTAACCACTTAACTGACTGAGCCACCCAAGTGTCCCTGAAAAACACCTGTTTTCTTGAAATAAATGAGATTGTACTTTGACTCTAAAGATGCAGAATAATTGATAACTGCTTTGGCGAATGACAGTGTTATATCTAATTTTGCATTAATCTGGATGCAGGCTATAAATGACTACAGAACAGCTCACCTTAGTAATTCTCACTTTTATTTACCCAGCTCAGGAAGAATTTAAAAAGCACTATCACTGGTAAAAATCATCACCATCATCATCATCAGTCAATCAGTCAAACTGCTTTTTTCTAACTGGAGGTTATCACTTATTTGTATGTTTCTAAATATAGATGTCATACTGAGAGAAAGAAGAGTGAAGTCTACTTCCCTCTTCAAAATTAATCTCTGTTTTAGTAATAAACCAAGCAGGGGATACTATGTCTCAGTACTTTTGCAAGAGCATTAATTAAGAAGGGGAGTGTTTTTTTGTAATGACCCCTATTCAGGGTAGATGGATCTCTGTCCATCTTCTTTCCAAATGTCAGCCATGGTCCCTAATTTATTGTTGCTATGATATGGCCAAATTTTGTTCTTTTATATGATAAAATATATACCCTCAGATACTTTTAAACTCATATTTGTTCTTTCATGACATTGCAGAAACAGCTTCACAGAGGACTTGAATATGGACTCTAAGATTTGTTCCCACTATTAGTTTTAATGAGTAATCTAAGGTAGCTCTAGACTTTTCTAACTTATGTTGAATGAAACGCACATCGTCTCTCATCTTCAACAAACATGGCTCACTCCAGATCTGAGCTCTTGCTCTCACATGACTTCAACCCATAACCTATTTCCCTGGATGAGATGAATATTTAAAGTCCCGTGGACTAAAATTCTCTGGCAAATTAGCCTAGTTTTCCTCTTGAATGGCCATAATCTAATTCTGCATATGGAAATATTTCTTTAAAATGTGTGCAGCTGCTTCCCTCTATGTGCTCTGTGAAATGTGGGAGCATCTTGCAACAGTGATGTGTAATATATGTGTACAGTCCAATTTGATTTTCTGAAATAGGGAAGCACAAACTCTCTCTGGAATAATTTCTTTTACTGGTTCATTGTTGAAAAGAAACTTGTCACCATGCCAAAGATAAAACTGCTGCTGGGTTTAGTTTCAAATTTTATAAAGTGAATAAGTGAAAAATATATATACATGCATTTCAGACTCAAGTTATGAATAATTAAATGAATATATAATTGTATCCAGTTTTACCCTCAAGCTCAACCAGCAAAGACATCTTCAGCCCATGTAAAAAGGATACTTCACATTTTTTTCAAAAATTACGAGCAAGCTGCCAAACATCACTGAATTCATATGCTCATAAGCAAGAATAACAATCTGTCTATAAAATTATACAGTGGGGAGTGCAACATTATTCAAGAGTTTTCTTTAATGTACATTTTGCCTTCTAAAATTTGAATTTACACAAGCATTGTCTTAGTGTTGTCTGAAATGTCTTCTTCATCATCTCTCACCCTATCTCTCTGATCCAAGGTTGCAGTGCAGGTGAAAAGCAGATACAGATCTTCAAGTCTATTTTGGCTAAGTGCTTTTGTTTTAATGTATAAAGTATGGCAAAGTAACATGAATGATTTTAACACACATACCAAAGTGTATATTCAAATGAGTGTTGCCTCTTTCCAAGTGGTTCTCTCAGAACTTATCCTAATAATGCGGTTATTGTGAGGGACATGTTTCTATCTCTTCTTTTGAAGCACAGTTATAAAGTAATAATTGATTGCTTTTCCATGTTGCTCATTATATTGGCTCTGAATAAATCCTTAGCATTAAAAAAAACTCCCCCTTTCGTGTGGCCTTTGACAACTTATTTTTGATACTGGCCATTCACACCCATATATCCTCCCATTGCTGGGGCTCCAGTCATGAAGAACAAGGGGCAGTTCCTAGAAGCCTCTGTGCATTTGCATATGCCATTCCCTCTTGGTTGGAAGATCCTCCTTGTATTACTAAGCCCACGATCACCGCCTTCAGAAAGTCTTCCTTGACTGGCCCCCCCTCCCACCATTTCCCTCCCAGCTGTTTAGCTCCCTTCTATTTAGCTGCACGTTGGAAGTACCAGTGTCACCTCAATCCACCAAATTGTTTTACCATGTTCCTTTGCCCTTCTCCTGGACTAGTCTGTGAGTTCCTTGAAGGCAGACACTGCGTCTTTATTATCTGTACCCTCAAGGCCCGATAGTGTTAACTCACAATATGTTCCATACAAGTTTGTTCAATGAGTTTGTGAAGGAATACAAATGTTTGTTGAAACGTTCGTGAATGGATACTTGAATGGGCCACCTAAGATATCTTTGAAGGTAAACTTTCATTTGATTGAGTCCTAGTGAAGTTAAGGAATCACTGGATTATTCAATGAATGATGTTAGGCAAACTAGTTTGTCAGTTTGGCAAAATCAGATTCCCTACCTCATATCATAAGCAGATATACAAAATTCCAATTGGATTTGATACTCTTACTTTTTAAAAAGATGAAACTATAAGCAACTATAACTACTTGTCTAATTTTAGGGTGAGGAGGGCCTATTTAAACATAACACCAAAGCCCAAAACCACCAGGAAAATGTTGATGGTGGTTCTGAACAAATGTATCACTTTATAGATGATATGTTCTAAAGGCACACTTTTTCCTTCTGAATTATTTTCCAATTTTTAAGATTCTAAATATATGCCTATTCAAGGAGACATAGAAGAAAACAAGTGATTGTAAAAATATACTAAAGATTGTCCAAAAAATCTGTAAACACAGGGAAAACTTTTTTATTATACTTTTTTTATTTTTATTTTTTTATTATACTTTTTTGAGGCTAACAAATGGATCCATTGTTTAGAGGTATTTCACCTAAAAGTTGAAAGAAAATATATTGAGCATATTATTTGAAAATATAACTAGTGTGTTGTTTGGAAAAACCAGTCTTAGGTTTCTGACTTTTGGGACATGCTATGAAGTGTGGTTTTTAACTATTAAAAAATGTAGCAACCTAAATGTTCAATAACAAATTGTTAATACATAAATTATCCATAATAAAAATGATGGTGTAGCGGCGCCTGGGTGGCTCAGCAGTTAAGCGTCTGCCTTCAGCTCAGGTCATGATCCCAGAGTCCTGGGATCGAGCCCTGCATGGGGCTCCCTGCTCAGCGGGAAGCCTGCTTCTCCTTCTCCCTCTCCCTCTCCCCCTGCTTGTGTTCCCTCTCTCTGTCTCTGTCAAATAAATAAATAAAATTTAAAAAAAAAATGATGGTGTTGAGGAATATTTAAAAAAATATATTTTTATTGACCGAAAAGGAGTTCAGGATATATTTTTACTATCCTGAAAAGGAGTTCAGGATATATGTATTTTTTATTTTAAGTAGGCTCCACACTCAGCATGGAGCCCAAGGCAGGACTTGAATTCATGACCCTGAGATCAAGACCTGAGTTTAGATTAAGAGTGGAGGTTTAACTTAGCCACCCAGGCACCCCCAGAATATATTTTTAAATGAAAAAAAAAAAAGATTATAAACTATTAGGTACATTATTTCATTTTTATAAAAACAAATGCGCTATTGGGGCACCTGGGTGGCTCAGTCGTTAAGCGTCTGCCTTCAGCTCAGGTCATGATGCCAGTATCCTGGGGACTCCCTGCTGGGCGGGAAACCTGCTTCTCCCTCTCCCACTCCCCCTGCTTGTGTTCCCTCTCTTGCTATCTCTCTCTCTGTCAAATAAATAAATAAAATCTTAAAAAAATATATGCGCTATTTATATTATTATATGTATACAAAAATCTGAAAGGATATACATAAATATATTAGTAGTAACTATCTTTTTTGCCTCATCTATAGTTTCAAATGTTTCAACATTAAGTATGGATATATTATCCATACTATCCATATGGATATATATATATGTATATATATAATTATCCATTAAATATGGATAATTCATGAGGAGATAAAAAGATAAATCATAAAATAGATTATTCAAAACCAAAGCAAACACTGACCAAACTTTTAAACAATAAAGTTACTGAAAAATGAAACAGAAACTAAAGATCGCAAGAAAAAAAAAAACGACATAACGGTATATGATTTCAAATGATTTGCTGCCACCTTGTGAGGAATGCTCCTGATTGCAGGACTGAAACCAGCAAAATAAGGAACTATGAAATTAATCGGTAACTGAAGATGAAATCGCGTACATAAGCATGATCCAAGACGTTGTATAGCTAAAGCTCTGTTTATCAGTTGATCCGTTTTGTTTTCTCTGCCAGCTATTTAACAAAACTGCCAGAATGGGAGGAAAATAGTATCAAACAGATTACAATATGTCAAGCACGGTTCTAATAGCACTTTATCTCACAAAAACCCTACGAAGTAGATATTATTTTTCCCTGTTTTTATAGATGAGACAACAAAGAGTTGAACCCCCTGCCAACAGCAGTCAGTGTTGCCAAAACAGTGCTAACTGGGAGCTGCATTTCGGGTCAATGATTTAAATTGAGCTTTTCAGTTCCCCTCAAGCACCCTCCCCCCATTCTCAAAATGCATTGCCCCAAAAATTGACTGCTGCCTTTGTCGGGATTAGTGGATAAGAATTCCGAGAGGGATTATTATATTCTCCAAACTAATCTTAGTTCCTTGAAGCTGTGGAGCAGCGTTGCTACTCCAAGTATGATCCACGGAGCTGGGCCCTTCTGTCACCAGTCAACTGCCAGGCAGGAACAGAAACTGAGAGTAAGCGTTTGGAAAACTTCATGGTAATTTTACAGGTATTTTATGGCTGTTGACTCTAATGATAAAATGTGTCTAATATTTTATCTTATCTTACCAGAGCATGGTCCACAACTAACTGTTAATTCAAAAAACTAATCTGATCGCTCCCTACATAGAGTCTGGGCAGCACCGTTGTATTTACCCTCGAGAATTTTACCCAACTCTAAGGCTTCTTCTGAGGGTTAGTTTCCCAAAATGAGGCCTCGGGTATTTTTCCTCCCCTATTTTCACCCATCTTATGCTATAAAACTGTTGTAATGATCACTGAAGCCAACATAAAGAATGTAAAAATATCTCGGGGCGCCTGGGTGGCTCAGTCGTTAAGCGTCTGCCTTCGACTCAGGTCATGTTCCCAGGGTCCTGGGATCGAGCCCCGCATCGGGCTCCCTGCTGAGAGGGAAGCCTGCTTCTCCCTCTCCCACTCCCCCTGCTTGTGTTCCTGCTCTCGCTGTGTCTCTCTCTGTCAAATAAATAAATAGAATCTTTAAAAAAAAAAAAAAAGAATGTAAAAATATCTCTTTGAGACTCAAGGGCCGAGTACCTGTGTAAGGAGAGTGTCACCAGCCCGGTTGGAACGCAGGGCTGCCGCAGACGCATACGCGCACGTGAGTCCGCGACAGCCGAGGGGGCGGGGCAGGGAGTAGGCGGCTCCGAGAAGACGCCACGCCTCCGTCTCTATCGGCCGCCGCGCCTGAAGAAGGCCGGGATACTGTCACTTCCGCCGGGGTCGCTCTCTGCATCCGGGTCAGCTGCTGCCCCTGCAGCAATAGCTTGGGGACTGGGCCCCGGTCTCCACTGCGGTCCGAGGGGAGCGGGCTCCTCTCGGCGCTACCTCCTGCGCCCTGGCCGTCAGCCCCACGTCGCCGGCCTGGAGGGGCGAAGAAGACGAGGGAGCCAAGGCTTCCTCCGGGGTGAGTGCGGCCGGGGAAGGCTGGGCACGGCGCGTCTGGGCTGAGAGCAGGCCTGGGGCTGACGTCCGAGGGGTGCGTGCCCCCCCCCAGACAGCCCGAGAGAGGAAGCCCAGAGGGTTGTTCGATGTAGGGGGCGCCAGGGAACCTGCCCGGGAGGCGCTTCCCGGATCCCCGCCCAGCTTAGGCCCCCGCCCTTGGCTCGGCTCCTGTTTGCCCCCGGCCACCCCTTTTCCGTTTGTGCTGTTGTGCTCGGTATGGAACTTGCCCCCCTCTCGGCCCCGCTGCACACACCCTGGTCCCAGGCCACTTGGGTCGCGTATTTAAGATCAGCGTCAGTCCTGGTGCTGAACAAAGAAACTTGGACGTCTGATGTGCCCTGTACCCTCGGGGAATAGACACGGAAGCGGCATTTGTAAATGAGGGCTTTAGTAGACCTTCCTACTATAAAAGCCGAGTTCCTGCGTGGATTCAGACATTACCTTTTACTTAATGGTTTGGGTTTCTTCGGTATATCTGATGCAGCTGTGGTTCTGCTAGATCAACTGTTAAATTTATTCGCGTCTATTACGTTGCTTTGAAACTTCCCCTGTCTGCCTGTCGCGGGAGCCCTTTGAGAGCACAGCTTTTGTCCTGTTCATCCTGGTAGTCATAGTGCCTTCCTTATAGTTAGTTGAATGAAGTGTGTGATTGCATTTTAGAGTTGTTTTTTTATCCTCACCTTTTTTGATTAGAGATCTCTATTTTTCTTAATGCCTAGTTTCTTAACTTTTTCAATGAAACCTTTTTTTTTAAGATTTTTAATTATTTATTTTGACAGAGACACAGCGAGAGAGGGAACACAAGCAGGGGGAGAGGGAGAAGCAGGCTTCCCTCTCAGCAGGGAGCCTGACGTGGGGCTCGATCCCACATGACCTGAGCCGAAGGCAGACGCTTTTACGACTGAGCCACCCAGGCGCCCCGAAACATATTCTTTTTCTAAAATTTTATAAGAATTTCTGCAGCTTGTAAATGTCTAACGTTGGTAACTGAAGTTACCCAATTTAGTTACCTTGTATACTATCTTCTTGATGAATTCGCACATCTTTTACTTAGTTCTTGTCATTTTACATTTCTTCTAAACTATTCTTGTTCTTCATAATCTCCTCTATTGCAGCCTAACATTGTTGGGCTTATACAGGAAGTATGACAGATCCTCTTCTGCAAACATGGATCTTGAACTAGATCATCATAAGTTAGTGCTGTTGTAATCTTTAAGTATTAGAGGACCTTTGAAGAGAAATGTAACCGAATCTGGCATTACAGGCTTACTCTGTATAAAGTTGCCACGAATTGGAGACAGTGTGCTGTATTAGAAACAGTCTACATTTAACCTGGGAACCAAGATGTAGTGTCATTTGCCTCATATATAAGATAAAGTGGGGATAATAACACCAATGTTTTATACCTCACAAAAGTTGTTGATTGGAACATATGGGGATGATGAATGTGCAAGTGGTTAGTAAATGTGAAAAGGAAAGTGGTTCTCTTCATTGCCTCTGGAGCAATGTGGGTAGGAGCAGTGATGGAGGACAGCATCTGAAAAAGGAAGTATATATAACCAGTTCCGAAAAATTAACCTTGGCTGACAGTGGATCGAAAGTTGTCTTGTTAAGCTTTGACGGTATAAAGCAGAATACCAGTATAATATGATGATAATATTTCACAATTATAATTTTATATTACAACAAATATGTATAACTACAATAAAGTGTCAGAGATCAATATTAGACTTTAATCTTTATAAAGGTCTTAGAGCGTCTCCAGTATGTTCTGCATAGTGATCATAAAAGTACTGTTTGTAGGTGGCATAATTATCCTTTGCTTTATTTTCAGAATTTTGAGAAGTCAGCACCATTGTAATTTTTCTTGAATTTTGTGTTAATGTTTCAGATAGAGGATCTCATTTTGTTCTTTTTTTAAATTGAGGTACAATTGGCATATAACATTGGTTTCAGGTGTACATACAATAATGATTTGATATTTTTATATACTCGGAAATGATCACTACAATGAGTGTATTTAACATTCATTGCTACACATTGTTAAAATATTTTTGTGACGAAAACTTTAAAGAATAATTTTCTTAGCACCTTTCAGATATGTAATACAATATTAACTACAATCACCCTGCTGTACATTACATCCTTAGGTTTTATTTTATAACTGGAGGTTTGTACCTTTTGACCCCCTTTGCCCATTCCTCCAACCTCCCTCCCCTCTGGCAACCACCAGTCTGTTCTCTGCATCTTTGACCTTGGTGTGCGTGTGTGTGTTTTAAGATTCCATATATAAGTGAGAACATACAGTATTTATCTTTCTCTGTCTCACTTACTTTACATAGCATAATGCCCTCAAGGTCTATCCATGTTGTCCCAACTGGCAAGATTTCATTCTTTTTATGGCTGAATAATATTCCATTGTGTATATATACCACAATTTCTTTATCCATTCATTTATCAATGGAAACAGGTTGCCTCCATGTCTTGGCTATTGTAAATAATGCTGCAGTGAATATGGGGCTGCATATATCTTTTTGAGATAGTGATTTTGTTTCCTTCAGATAAATACCCAGAAGTGGGATTGCTGTATCAAATGGTATTTCTATTTTTAATTTTTTGAGGAACCTCCATACTGTTTTCCACAGTGGCTGCACTAATTTACATATCCTGTCAACAGTGTACAGGGGCTCCTTTTTCTCCACACCCTTGACAACTCGTGCTCTTTCTTGTCTATTCAAGAATGGCCATTCTCGGGGCGCCTGGGTGGCTCAGTCGTTAAGCGTCTGCCTTCGGCTCAGGTCATTGTCCCAGAGTTCTGGGATCGAGCCCCGCATCGGGCTCCCTGCTCAGTGGGAAGCCTGCTTCTCCCTCTCCCACTCCCCCTGCTTGTGTTCCCTCTCTTGCTGTGTCTCTCTCTGTCAAATAAATAAAATCTTTAAAAAAAAAAAAAAAGAATGGCCATTCTAACAGGTGTAAGGTGACCTCTCATGGTGTCATTTCATTCTTAAAAACCTGCATGACCCTGCTCTCAAGGAAGCAGTGACAAGTGTAGATGATTTTTCTGGAGGCATTTTGGTGATCATTGTAAACATATATATAGGCTGGCCTAAAGTATTTTCCTATAGTGCTACCAGTGTTGCAAGCCTCATAGGGAAAAGTGAACATAAATATTTAGAATGAAGCCCTTTTGTTTAAATGAAGAAGTGAAAGACTTGCCTGGACATTTCCTTCTGCCAATAATAAGTGATTTCAGCATAGATGGTAGTTACTAGCACCTATTCCAGCAGCACTATTAAACTACATAATAGTAAAATTGCATGTGAGATTATAATTTACAAATCAGACAGTTGTAAATAAGATTTTAATATTTAATTTTTGCTTCTATTGCTGAGTTGCATAGGGAAATCCCCTTCTTCATCTTGGTTGAATTTACCACCACATCTCCCTTCAGAAGTTGTGTCAGGAAGTAATCCATTCTCCTTGATTTTTAACCTCACTTAGGTCAGCAGGTGTTCTGAATTTATCTAAATACTTCTAGTGGTTAATTGGCATAAGTAATCATGTGCCCCCAGTACCACAAGTATGTTGGGAAATCAAGTTATTGCCGTTGCATTAGGTTATTTTAACAAATGGCATCTTAAAGTGTTATTCCCCATTCTAATTTACCAAATTTATGAACAAAAAATGGGAAACAGCCACAGTTAACTTGTGAGTCAGCAGTGTCCTGATTTCCTTCAAAGTGGTTGTGCTTATATTGCTCCTTTCTTGTTTGTTTCCTGTTCTTACAGCTGCTGATGATTAAGTGCTTTCAAGAACAACACTCTCAATTGTTTGAACTTTTTGTCTACCTAGTGTACTTTTCTCCCTACAGTCTGTGATGAAATGGTCAAGAGTGAATCTATCTGTATCTCTAGGTTCTGTTTAACTAGCTTAAATAATTATCCCCAAACTAAATATCCATGTCCATATGCTGTGTGTTTTAAAATCACATGCTTCAATATGATTTTGAAGTAAAAATTGAGTGAATCAGCTGAGAGACCTGAAGGACTTGGGCTCTATGTTTAGAGAGCTAGAGATATTTTCAAGTGATAGCCTTGTTCAAGTGGTAGGGGAACTAAAGGACATGGTTTGTCTTATAGAATTTCTCAAGTTACATATTTTCACTTACAAAAAAGGAATGATTTTACCAACAGAAATTGTTAATTGCATGTATGTGGGTTGCCCGAAATATTTTCATTACACTTTTTGAGGGTAAAACAACAAGAAGCCTGTTAAATAATGTAGTCGAATAAGAAAAATAAGGCTAAGGGGTAGAGCAAAATAAAGGCTTGCTATCCAGTGTCCTACCTTACAATATTCATATAACTGACATTCACAGGCTTGTGTGCCAGGCACTGTGTGAGGTGTTGAGAATATAGTGATAGCAACTTTCAGTCTCTGCTTTTATTTTTGAGACATTAAATATTTTTCTGAGTATGTGGGATATTTGAAAAAGACAACAAGAAGATCCTGGTATTTTTCCAACACCTACAAAAAGGTAAGACAAAATAACAAATTTTTTCTGATTATTGAATTTAGGAAGTATATTAGTTCACTTTAGAGTGATTATAAAAGACTTCAGAAAAAAATTGAGAAGTACAGTGAATTAAAAATTTGGAAGAGACAGTTTTAAACCTTTAGTAATAGAGTGTTTCAGTCTCACTTGGGCATTAATTTCTAAGGTAATAAGCATTAAGCATTTGGGCTTGTTGGCCATAATTTGGGGGTCTTTTATACTAGTTCTGTGTTCTAAATGGGAGAGATTGGCAAGATAGGTATCCCTTTTTTGTTTATTTTCTTCTCTACGGAGAGGAAGAGTTGCCATCAGAGAACCATCTATGACGTCATCAGTGAAGACCTGTGTTTAGGTGTAGACTATGTATTAGAAACAGAAAATGTGGTCCATAAGTCAAGATTACTGTAGTTGTGGTATGTTTGCCATTAATTTCTCAACATTGCCTGGCTCAGTGTTTTCCCAGAGAATTAAAAATGACTAACATATATAAATAATTGAGTTTTCCAAGCAAATATGTTGGTGAGGAAAAGAGCATTTGCCATTTTTCCTGTGCTTGAAAGTGGGTCCTTGAATATTTAAACCTTTTGAGAATGTGTGAACCCTTTCCTTGAGCGTAAGTAAGAATTCAAACTGAGAAGAGAGCCTCCCAGTCTTGGCAGAGATATAAATTTAGTTTACCAGGTGAAATCTAACACTTCAGAAAATTGCCAGTGTAGTATTGTTGTTCTGGAACATAATGCTTTTTCTGTACAGCTTTGCACATCTTTATAGTGTAATGACAGCAGATAAAGCAACCATAAACCATGACCACATCTTTGTTTATTTTTTAATTTTTTAGTTTTTATTTTTTATTCCAGTGTAATGAACCATGTTATATTAGTTTCAGGTGTACAGTGTAATGATTCAGCAATTGTGTATGTTACTCAGTGCTCATAAGTGTTCTCTTGATCCTCTTCACCTCTTCCACTCCTTTCCCACCCACGCCCCCCCATTTGTTCTATATATTTGAGTCTGTTTTTTGTTTATCTCTCTTTATTTTGTTCATTTGTTTTGTTTCTTAAATCCCACATATGTGTGAAATCATACGGTATTTGTCTTTCTCTAACTTTTTTCACTTAGCATTATATCCTCGAGATCCGTCCGTGTCGTTGCAAAAGGCAAGATTTCATTCTTTTTTATGGCTGAGTAATACTCCAGTGTGTGGAGGCATCATGTCTTTGTTTTATAAGACTAATTGAAGTGAATGGCTGGAACCATTTGTTTTATTTGATAAGTAACTTTTAAAGTTATATATACATGGTTTTAAAAGTCACATAGTTTAGGATTTACTATGAAAAGCATCAGTCATTCTCCCCATCTCACCCTCTTTCTTCCACTGGGGCCAACCACTTTTTGCTTTGTTTTTAATACTTGTAATGATACTTTCTATCTCCTAAGAAATGCATGTTTTACTGCTTTTTTAAAATAAATAACTTTAGTCATCTACTGACTTGCTCTAATGCAATTGAACTAAATATTAGCTCATCTATACCTCTTGCACCCTAAAGTTGTCAGTTTTTGTTGTACTCATTAACCAGTTGATCTTTATGACTTCTTAATATACTTAAACCTCCAGTTCTTATTCCATCAACCAAACCAATCTCTGTATTCTTCACCTTGTAAAGTGAGGATGTAGGCACCCACACCCTTCCTTGGACAGACTAAAACTAAAACTGAATGGCCTAGGTTAGCATATGTTGTTGCATGAATAGAAATATTCATGGGGTGCCTGGGTGGCTCAGTCAGTTAAGTGGCTGCCTGCAGCTCGGGTCATGGTCCCAGGGTCCTGGGATCGAGCCCCACATCCGGCTCCCTGCTCAGCGGGGAGCGGGAGCCTGCTTCTCTCTCTGTCTGCCGCTCCCCCTGCTTGTGCTATCTCTCATAAATAAATAAAATAAATAAAATCTTTAAAAAAATAAAGAAATAGTCACTAAGTTCAGTGTCTGAAAACTTATGCTGAACTGCATGAGAAAAGTTTAGTGTAGATATGAAGCAAATCAAAATGTAGCATTCATTTACTGGATGGTTACTAAGTAGCCTTCTTTAAATGGCTCTGGAGTGATGGCATTGAAACTACAGAGATGGAAGTATAGAAAACAGCACACATATTAATTATACTTCAATTTAAAAATGTTAATTATAGGGGTGCCTGGGTGGCTCAGTCGGTTAAGCGTCTGCTTTCAGCTCAGGTCCTGATCCCAGGGTCCTGGGATCGAGCCCCGCATTGGGCTCTCTGCTCACTGGGGAGCCTGCTTCTCCCTCTTCCTCTGCCTTTCCCCTGTTTGTGCTCGTGCGCATGCTCTCTCTCTCTCTCTGTGTCAAATAAAATATTTTTTTAAAATGTTAATTCTACATCAGTTCTAAAAAGATACCGCACACTTTACTGAATCATGAGTGTAAATGCAATTTACTAGTGTTCAATTTCTAGGATCAGCCTCTATCCGGAGGACAGAAAATTAATTATGGATCTAGAGTAGAGAATATATTTACTTGTATTCCTTGTGCCTCCCCCCCCCCGATTGTTTTTACATAATTCACAAAACTTAAACTTAAATCACAACCTGGGACACACGTGCATATATGTAACTGAAAACAAATATTTTCACTGCCCAATACCCTTACTACAAATAGTACTCACATTACTAGAATATTATAGACTCTGATTTTCGTTCTACTTCTTTTTTTTTTTTTTTTTAAATGGTAGTTGCAGCTCAATAAATTGATTTCATGACCAGGGTGGAAGTGTGAACTAAGGTATAAGATTATTGCACCTTTTTAGCAGATAAAAAGTAACATGGAAAATATGTTGTTATAAATTTTTCTCTTTTCACAGGACATTGGCTCTCTGGATTATCAGGAGTTTGTGGCTGATATTGAATCTAAGCTGAGGATGGAAGGTGTGGAACTTAAAGAAGAATGGCAAGATGAAGATTTTCCAATGTGAGCAATACTCTCAAATGAAAACAAATTTAAAACAAAACTTCAAAATGTCTTTATTGAGATGTCACTTATTAAATAAGTATTGAGCTTCTTATAGAAACCCAATGTCAAAGGTGTTCATTTGATACTAGAAAATGAAAGTTCCTTTCCAACAGTTAGAGGAATTCTCTTATATCTTATTTTCCAGTAAATATATATGTGATCTTCTATAACCTTTTATTTTTGTTTTCAACATTTAAATTTCAAAATGTTGAAATTTAAGCAAAAAATGCTTAAATATGGTATTTCTTAAACTGGAATCTGAGGGGTTCCTGGGAGAAGGGAGTCTTTCGATGTCTGTAAGAATTGTTAAATTTTGTGCTTCTGTTTTAAGAAAAAAACTTATAAAATAAGGGTTTTTTAGGTCATCTGGCCAGCTACTTTGACACGTTTGCATTTGTATTTATAGTTGTATTGGCACCAGCTGGGTTAAGAGAAAAAGGGCAAAGGCAGACCTTATATTTAAATGGTGCTTCCAGGGGCGCCTGGGTGGCTCAGTTGGTTAAGCGACTGCCTTCGGCTCAGGTCATGATCCCAGGATCCTGGGATCGAGCCCCGCATCGGGCTTCCTGCTCAGCAGGAAGCCTGCTTCTCCCTCTCCCACTCCCCCTGCTTGTGTTCCCTCTCTCTCTCTCTCTCTCTCTGTCAATTAAATAAATAAAATCTTTAAAAAAAAAAAAATAAATGGTGCTTCCATACCATCTTGGTCAGAAGACCATCCCAGTGCATAGGAAGGTCCCTTAACAGTGGGAATATGGACAGCTTGTGGGAGTACTAAGTCACTGCATAGCACATGGTGATAATAGTAATCATATAGAAATGCTGAGCTCAAAAGAATTGTAGCCATCATGACATGATGTCCCTCGCATGCGAGGGACAGTTTACCTTCACCACACATTGTATTTCATGTTAAGCTTGTGCATTTGAGTTATATGTTTTTTAGGTTGTTTATAATTTTTAGGTTTGTTTTGTAGTTGTATTTAAGAGTAGTTACATAAGGAATTTATATCTACTTTTATGTGTTATTTATATAGATATATAAATCATCTCTGACAGTCTGAAAATTTTGTCTTTAAAAGTCATTTGTAAATTATTGAAGCTTAAGAAACTGCTTTATTCAGTTTTCTACGTAATTGATTCTATAAGATATTTTAAATAGCTGTTTGAACTTCAAAAAAAATTTTTTTTAATTTGTGGATTAAAAATTATGTCTGTATCTTCTAGACCTTTACCAGAGGATGATAGTATGGAAGCAGATATACTGGCTGTAACTGGACCAGAGAGCCAGCCTGGTAAGAACTTGGCACTTTGGTTTCAATGAAACGGTAGACTTTGTGCTATTTTTTAACACATTTCTTTGTCAAGGGAAAAAAGTATTCTCATTTTTTGTTCTATTATACAGAGCCAAAGGATAAGGTGAATGTTTAAGAAAGCCTTTTTTGAGTGCTTTGGAAATTTAACTTTGTAAAAACATACCCTTGGGTTTTGGAAATTTCTACAATAAAAGGTTGAGAGGAGCTCATTTTTAATAGTAAGAACTGACTATAATGTTTGCCTCTGTTACTTAAAAAGACTTATCCTTGCTGGCATGTGTTGTCTTGCCATGATGTAGAAGCAATAATGATCAAAATCCAAGGTTTGTAAATTAATGCTTTGGGATTGTGTTTGATTAACGTTATTTTTCTCAAGAATGGAGTGGTTAGAATTTTTCTCTTTTTGGGGCGCCTTGGTGGCTCAGTCAGTTAAGCATCCTACTCTTGATTTTGACCCAGGTCATGATCTCAAGGTCATGAGCTCGAGCTGGGCGTGGAGCCTGCCTAAGATTCTCCCTTTCACTCTACCCCTCCCCCCATTCACATGCTCATACTCTCACTCTCTAAAAAAAAAATATATATTTTTTAAAGATTTTATTTATTTACTTGAGAGAGAGGCCAAGATCGTGAAAGAGGGAGAGAGAGCAAGTGAACAGGGGGAGGGGCAGAGGGAGAGGGAGAAGCAGACTCCCCACTGAGCAGGGAGCCTGATGCAGGGCTCGATCCCAGGACCCGGAGATCACGGCCCAACCCGAAGTCAGACACTGACCCGACTGAGCCACCCGGGAGCCCTAAAAAAACAAATATTAAAAAAATTTTTTTTCTCTTTTTCAACTTGAGCATGTAAACATTCCTTCTAATCTGTTTTTCACTTTTTTTTTTTAACCCATTCCATGCTCTCTAGAAGTTAATGGAAATAAAGTAAGAAAGAAACTCATGGCTCCAGACATTAGCCTGACCCTGGATCCTAGCGATGGCTCTGTGCTGTCAGATGATTTGGATGAAAGTGGGGAGATTGACTTAGATGGCTTAGACACGCCATCAGAAAACAGTAATGAATTTGAGTGGGAAGGTAAATGCTTCATTGTTTTTATCTGACTTTTATTAATGTTTGTCTCTATATACATATGTGTTTTTTTAATAGGAGTCTCATATTAGGATAATTGAAAAACTTAAAACTTGATCTTGAACTTAAAATCAATGATTAAGGGATTTTGTTGAAATATGAAGTTATTCTTTCTAAAGTTCCTACTATATTTTGTCATAAAGAGGAAATTCTGCCAACACAATATTCTCATGGCTTTCAAAAACGGTTTTTAGTAGTTACACAGGTAGCTTTATTTTCTTTCTTAATTGCTCAGGATTGTGAAATTATGTTTTTTCATGTTGCTTCCAAAATACTGCTTGATAAGTATGGCATGTTCTTTTATTTAGTCAGTCAGCTAAGGAAAAAAGCTTTGACGAGACATATAGGGAATATGCTAAAAGTATTTAAGGGTTTACAGAGAGGGAGCTTTGAAGGGAGTTTTTTGAGGGTGATTTTTTAATTTGGTTTGCCTGGTAGTGCTGCACTATGTAAACAACCAACTTGAATTAATGTATACTCTTAGTCCCCAACCTTCATATTCCTTATTATTAAGTTATTTAGAATTCAAAGGAATTGGCATGTGTTTTGCTTTGCATGTTTTCTTTAATTAGATAATTTCTATGTACAGTATCTTTATATAGTTGTTTATATATTCCATCTTTAAAATGATTTTTACTTCAAAGCAGTGTTTAGCACTATGTGTCTTATCAGCAGTAAAGAGTAAGATCTTTGATATGCTATATCTTTGTTCCTTTTTTTCTTCCCTGTTTTACTGGTTCAATAAGCAGTCCAGTAATAAGCAATATTTTAAAAAGATACTGAAATAGTTTTCTGCCTATGTGTTTTGTCTCTTCTTTCCTTAATGCTGCTGTAGTCATTTCCTGGAAGGATATTTTCCGTTAACAGCTTTATCTTGGAAACAAACAACTAACATGCCGTAGGTCCCCCTTCCCCCCCATCTTTTGGTAAGGACTCTGATACTAAAATTTTGAAAATCATTACTTCATTTAAAATCCTCTAAAATGCAATCTTGAAATATAAATTACACCTAATCATTGGTGCTTCTGCTTTGGCTAATGTCAATTTAAAATAGACTTTTGCATGTACACGTCAGAATGTTATCAGTAAATTTCTGCTCAATAAAACTGATCAAATGAGAAATAATCATTGGCTGGTTAACCACTTTCTATCTGGTATTACAGTGTTTGGGGAATAATCTGTGTGCTCAATAACAAAAAACAATTTGTTCTCAGTTACTTTAAATAACCTATAGGGCTAACTACCAAGAACAGTGCTGTAAGTAAAATCTGAACGGCATTGTAAGGCCAATGTACTAAGATTTTGATGGCGGTATGAATTATCTTTTTTGAACTCGTGAACATACATTGCACTGTGATAGGTGCTTTGTGAGTTAGCCCATACAAAAAAAGTTAACCATGCTTTCCAAAAACATAAAATGGCCTCATATCAATAACAAGCCTTTTCCTCTGTTACAGAAGAAATACTTAAAATTCCACAGAAGATATAACGAAAAATTCTCTGAACAATCTAATTAGATAGTAAAGTGGTTAACATGTAACTTGATTTTTATTGTGTAAATAACAATTTGTGATTCAAAAACCTTTTATTTTGACAGATGATCTTCCAAAACCCAAAACTACTGAAATTATTAGGAAAGGCTCAATTACTGAATACACAGCAGCAGAGGAGAAAGAAGATGGACGACGCTGGCGTATGTTCAGAATTGGAGAACAGGACCACAGGGTCGATATGAAGGCAATTGAACCCTATAAAAAAGTTATCAGCCATGGAGGTAAGAGCAATCAAAGATTGTTCGTATCTTTTTTTACTCTATCTTGAGTAAAAATATATATATAATAAACATGTCATTTTAGAAACAACAGTTTTGAAGTAAAAGGATAAAACCAAATTTAAAAATCGTTGGTACATGCACACAGTATATTCAAAAGGTACAAGAGTATACAGTGGAAACTGTTTTCCACCCTGACTCCAGACACCTCCCCCCAAAACTGAGACTTTCTCCCCTTTTTATCCATTTATAATTTATATATAGTGAAATGCTATCCTTTTTTGTAGTACTTGCAATTTTTTCCCCAGCTTCATGAGATAAAATTGACATATTGCATAAGTTTAAGGTGTAAAACGTGTTGATCTAATACAGTACATATTACATAATGATTACCATTTCTTTTTTGTGGTGTGAACATTTTAGATCTACTCTCTTAGCAACTTTTGAGTACATAATACAGTGCTACTAACTGTAGTCACCATGCTGTTCATTAGATCCCTAGAACTTACTCATCGTATAACTGGAAGTTTGTACCCTTTGACCAGCATCTCCTCTTTCCCCCTAGCCCCTGGCAAACACCATTTTAGTCTATGTTTCGAAGTTTGGCATTTTTAGATTCCACATATAAGTGATATCATACAATATTTGTTTTTCTTCTCACTTTTTCACTTGGAAGTGCTCTAATCTGAAATGTAGTAGTCAGTGAGTTTTGACAAATGCCCATATTACCATATATACCCATATCACCTACACCTAGACATATAGAACATTTTCATTGCCCCAGAAGATTCTCTCAAACTCCTTCCCAATGAATACCCCCCTCTCCAGTAACCACTATTCCAATGTCTACTCCCATGATTACTTTTGCCTGTTCTAGAATTTCATGTAACTGGAATCATATAGTATACCTTCTTTTGTTGACTTCTTTTGCTCAGCATGTTTTTGACATTCATCCATGTTGCACGTGTCTGTTGTTCATTCCTTTTCATTGCTAAGTAGTATTTCATTGCATGGATAAACTACAATTGGCTTATTCCTTTTTCTTTTGATGAACATGTGAGTTGTTTCCAGTTTGGGCCATTAGGATTAAAACTGCTATGAACATTCTTATACTAGTCTTTGTGGATATAAGTAAAACTTGGCGTTTTAAACTGTGACTCTTAATTTACCTTAAAACCCTGAAAAAATAATTTAGTTTTACCATAAAGTACAGAACTAGTTCATTCCACATTTTTGTGGAGCACCAACTTTACATATTTGTGGAATATCCAAAAATATAAGGCTTCATTTCTTAAGAAATCGCAAGTCAAATAGGAAAAGCTATGGGTGTATGATTATAACTTCTATCCATCTGACTGTGCCATGTATAGGAGTTTACCTAGACACCATAAATAGTATCAGAATGTTAATGGTAGTCAAAATGCAAGCCACTCTCTAGAACATTTCTTGTTACCTGAAATCCTAATGCAGGAAAGGGGACCACATAGGTTAAACAGATTGAGTTTTTTTATGTAGAGTCCTTTCTACTTAATTTACTTTCTGCCAAATGCATTTCCCTCTGTATTTCTATAGTCTTCATTCATCTGAAACCAAATCACTTGAATATTTGCAGTTACATTATTCTGCTTAATTTAATCCTATTCAAATGAAGAAAACAGGATAATCTGGATCAGGAAGTCCACAGACTTGCATTAATTCAGCCAGTTCATAGGAAACAAGTTGTGAGAGCTGCCTCATGGTTTAAACTATCTTAAAGTATCTTTCAGAAAGAGTGCTTTATTTGGATTAGGGGGAAATAATTAGGACCATTTCATTCTATTGAATTATCACAGTGTGTTTTGTGACTAAGATAATTGAGAAAGGTATTGAAGATGCTAATGTACTTGAACTGTTTAAACCTTTTCAGTGCATGTTTGTAAACAACAGAAATGAAAGTTAAACCAGTGTTACTGGATACAGCTTAATATCTAGAGATTATAATAAACATACACATTTTAACACTTTTTCTTCAGTTAAAATTGTCAGAGATGTAGTTTTTAATACTCTAAATCTGCAAAATGCTAGGCATTGCTGAGTGTAAAAGTATTTTTTAAAAAGGACCCACTTTAACCATAACTTGCATAAGATTGTTTTATTGCAGATGTTTTCATAATTATTATGCCTGCTTGGATTATATCACTTCATTTGTTTACTAAAGTAAGACTGGCTTTCTGATTATGCCACTTTAAATGGGTTTCTGGTTTTTATGCCCACTGTTTCCTCTTTAGATTTTATTCTCATTTTGAGAAGAGGGATTTTAAGATCTTTATAAGGCTATATAAGGTTAAAAAAGAAACCATGTTTTTTTATCAAAAAAATTGTGGAACATGAACCACTATATAATCTATCAACTGTACATACAGATTTCCTCTGAAAAAGTAAAATGCTGGTGATTTTATCTTTGATTTCTTTTTCAGGATATTATGGGGATGGATTAAATGCCATTGTTGTGTTTGCTGTCTGTTTTATGCCTGAAAGTGGTCAACCTAACTATAGATACCTGATGGACAATCTCTTTAAGTAAGTATACCTTCATAAAAAAAATTTGAACAGAATTCTGAGTTAATTAAGTATACCTTCATAAAAAAATTTGAACAGAATTCTGAGTTAATTAGATCTCCAATTTAAGGACGTGAACTTTACCTGGGAGAAGATTATAATTATCTCCATTCCAGTCCTTTAAGTCCTTATTCTTTGGCATTTTGAAACTCTTCATTTTCCAACTCGACAGGAAAATTGTCAGTTTAAAACTGGAAGGGCTATTTCAGATTATCTGTTCCAACTTCTTTATTTTACATTAAATGTAAAGAAATTACTTTTATCTCAAAATCATATGGCTAAACTGCATTTACTCCCAAAAAGCCAAATATAACTGAACTGACTCAGTTCTATTTCCACAGAGTCATTCTATTTCTTAAGTTAGTGGTGTTTTAAACTTATCATGGAAAATTTCAAACTTATATAAAAGTAGAGAGAAGTGTATTGAATCTTTGTGTATGAATCCCCCACTTCCACATTAGTTTATACTTCATTCCCAAAATGTATGCTCTTCCCATTGTATAACTTTGAAGCAAGTCCCAGAAATCATGTCAGTTTACCTGCAGACTTTTAAATGTGTATTTCTAGAAGATAACTCTTTCTGATACACAGTCATAATACCAACTAATGCAGTTTTGAAATTTTAATTGGTTTTGCTGTCATTGAAGGGAAGGGAAGGGCATTATATCATTTGGATAATTTTGTTTGGTTCTGCAAAGCAATATTTAAGGCTTAAACTTAATTTGTTTTTACAGGTATGTTATTGGCACTTTGGAGCTGTTAGTAGCAGAAAACTACATGATAGTTTATTTAAATGGTGCTACAACTCGAAGAAAAATGCCCAGTCTGGGATGGCTCAGGAAATGCTACCAGCAAATTGATAGAAGGTATTGTAAATACACATTGAAAGCTAGTCTGAATAATTTTTATAATAGCTTTGTTCAATTTTATTTCCTGTTGTCACTTAAGGACACCATAAATTATTAATTTCATGTTTCTATTTTCTCAGTTCAGTATTTTAGAATATCATGAAGGAAATTAGTTTTGATCTGTTTTATAAAGAATAATTCCTTAAAACCTATAAAATAGTTCTTTATCTCTCCTTATTTATACCACATTGAACAGTTTCCTATAATTTACGTTTTGGGAAAGGATGGAGAATTTAGTACATTTCCTATTTTAATACATTCTGAATTTTGCTAGCTCATAGTGCTTACATATTTTATGGTTTTTAAGATGCTTAGCTATAATCTTATTTTGGAATGAGCTCTAGGGAGTGTATTCTCCTGGGAGTTAGTCATCCATGCTAATGGAAGGAACTTTGAATCTCCAATTGGTTTGATTAGACTATAGCTACATCGAACTAGTTTAATGAACTCAGACGCATTAATAGGTTTCTCTAAATACCTAAACATGGCATGGGCTAGTTTTATGATTTAAAAAAAAAATCCTTAATGATCACTTAAGTGTGGAATATGCATGATAAAACAGCAGTTTTTATTTGGTCATTTTAAGTCGTCCAGGGTAATACTGTTAATTTTTACTCAGAATTTTGGACTCCATAAGAATGTGTTAGATCTGATTTACATTTCCTGTTCCTGTGGTGAACTTGACTCCCATCTTTCTGCCGGCACAGTGCCTTTCATGGTGTTGAAGAAATGAGTACCATTTCCCCTCTCATCCTGAAAAATGAAATTTCGTATTCAGTATTGACGTCTACCCTGGTTGACAGAATTCTAAAGACAAGTGAATGTATTTAGGAGACGTTTAACAACAAGCTATACTGTGGACATAAATTTAGCCAAATGAAGTAAAGTTCATCTCATAGCAGGAGGAGAAACAGAATTCAAGAATGTATTTTCTTGTCTTTAGGAATATCACATCTAAATGAACTTTTGGATGACAGATTTGTGTGTGTGTGTAGTTTCACATCCTTATTGATGCCTTACCTTCTAGCATTAGAATTTATGGAGCTCAAAAATTTTTATTTCTTTTTTTTTTATTCCAGGTTACGGAAAAACCTAAAATCATTAATCATTGTACATCCCTCATGGTTTATCAGAACACTTCTAGCTGTCACAAGACCCTTTATTAGGTAATTTTCTGAGAGTCATTGATTTAAAAAAAAAAAAAAGAAACAAAAACACAAACTCCTTATGTGAATTTCTTGTCAGTTCTGTTGGTCGGAATATTGAGGTAATTATCTTTATTTTCTTCCATAGCTCAAAATTCAGCCAAAAAATTAGATACGTCTTTAATTTGGCAGAACTAGCGGAACTTGTCCCCATGGAATATGTTGGCATACCAGAATGCATAAAACAGTATGTTTTGTTTTATTTCTTTAATTATATTGGATCTTTATATATTAATGTGCAAGAGGTAAATATTTTTCAATACTCATTCTGTTACACTTCCTATATGATAAATATTTTGTAACTGCTCTTGTTTTTATAACTAAGGAAAAGGGAAAGAAGCCATTTTCCAGCACCTTCCCCATAAGTCACCATTTTCTTCAGGTTATCAGCTGAAGAAGCAGGAAGGATTATTTCTGGTTGTGATTAATTTTTATTTTTAAAGACTATTTTTTTTTAAAGATTTGTTTATTTATTTGAGAGAGAGAGAGCACATGAGAGGGGGCAGGGTCAGAGGGAGAAGCAGACTCCCTGCTGAGCAGGGAGCCTGATGCGGGACTCGATACCGGGACTCCAGGATCATGATCTGAGCCGAAGGCAGTCGCCCAACCAACTGAGCCACCCAGGCGCCCTAAAGACTGTTTATTTTTAAAGACTGTTTACAATCTTAACAGGTGATTTCCTGATCAGTCAGTACTAAAGAACATTCTCCAAAGTTGAACATGCTGCTTACCAAATTTGAGTAAATTCATCCTGGCATTGAATAATTCTATTACTGGAGAAATACAATATTATTTATATCAGCCTAACCTTGGTTCATTCCAGTGGCTGGAATATGTTCTGTTTACCAAATTCACCTCCATCTAATTTTTGAAAGGATTTGGTAGAGGCTGTTAACATAAATCCTTGAGTATCACACTGCTATAATGTAGAAAAAGTTTTTTGGTCTACTAATCTGAGGTTTAGTCTGTTAATGTGTCAAAGCCAGATCTTAGGTCAGTTGTGTTAAATATTTTTGGTTTTGCCTATAGATTTATATGAGTTTATTGTCAGTGCCTTTTTTCAAGTTTTGTTCATTTTCATAACATGTATATTTACTGAAATAACTCTTCCCTACCAAGGTATGAAGAAGAAAAGTTAAAAAAGAAACAAAAAAGGTATATGCACACCTTGACTGGGTTGCATCTAGACTAGTCCATTTGCATTGCACAGACTAACTCTTCCTTATTGGTTGGTTAGCTTGTAGACAAAGATAATAGCATTTGTAAATATAAACATACCCCAGAATCCAAATATAGAGTGAATCCGAAGTTCCTGATGCTGAATATGGCTTGGATTCACCCTGTTCTAACACCATGCATAATGCCAATTAGGAATTAAAGGCCATAGGCCCTCCTCACCCCTTCACGTTATACATACTGATAGCAAAACCAAAGAAATTGCTAAGAATACTATTTGGAAAACCAATTACCTCTAAGCCTTTATCTGTTTGACCATATTGTTTAAATGTCCAACGAGTGCTCTTGATAAATATATATATGTACTTTTTTAAGGTAATAGTTTATTTCCCTGGGGTTTATGAGTATATTTGCAATGCACATATTCTTTGGCTAACCAACATTGATTTCCCTGTACGCTTAAATGGCCTGCTAACCAGTCAAATTCTACATATGATAAAATACCTAAAATTCAATATACCATTAAATAAACACTCTGCTTTCCGTCTTTAATTTTGAATACTTCTGCTTTGAGCATAACAAACTATTAGCTATTAATATCTCGGCATAGAAGATGAAAGGCAAGGTATAAAATAGTTACCATTTTATATAGCAGTTTAGAACAGTGTAGGATTTGGAGCTGACTTGTTAATGGTTTTTGTTTTTTTAGTAATGACAAATTAGCGAAACAGCTTTAATACAGTCTCTCTTAAGGTGAGAGATTTGTATGTAGTTATTATCACTTTGACCATTCTAAGGAAACAATTACAAGGAACTGAAACATTCTTGACACATTTTGGGTCTGTTGATGAGCAAGAATTCAGTTGATGGTGTGATGGAATCATAGCTTTAATTTTCATGTGACACTTAACAGTTTGACAGACATTTTAACATAGAGATGTGGGCTGTAATTTTAGGTATTGCTAATTTTTTTTCCTTTCTAGGCACTGGTGTACACTTGGCAGACAGATATATAATCTGTAATTGTATAATGAAGCCAGCTGCTTCATGGATTTCAAAATGAATTGCCTTTATTGATAAAATCTGCTGAATTTTGCCTTTTTACAAAGTTCTCAGTATTTAATTACCTGGAATTTAGGGATCAGAAAAATAGTGGAACTATACTTTTTATTTAAATATATTGTTTGATACCTACCAATACTATTTTATCTTGATTTTTTTTCTTCTTTTTTTACTTTTGTTTTGTTTAACCATAATAGAATCGTTACATATATCTTTCAGGTACTTCTTAGTTTTTGCACAAAGTTTGTTAGTCTTAAAAAATAATAAATCCTTGTCAGCTTGAAAATGGTAACATTCAAGTTTTAAAAATAAAGGAGCATATTTTTTTTTAAATGTAACAGAGGTTCTATGTGGAGGAGGTTACTTAAGGTGAAATCTGTTATGATGAATACTGAGGAGGAGGATTCAAAACTGAGTGTGCAAGCATAGTAGTTTTAAATGTTGTAGACGTTTCTTTCAAGCAACTCAGTGCAAGTGTGGCCAGAGAGGATCGCAGTTGTTAAAATGTTTGAATGTAGTTTAAAACTAAAGTAATTGTGAAATTAGTTCATAAGAACTAATTCAACATATCTCAGATGTTGAAAAGACTGGATGTATATTGCATGCCTTCTTGAGACTATATACCTCTCATATTTTTGATACCAGCATAAAAAATGTTTTTAAATGTTATTAATCTGGCTTTACCACACACCAAGACTTTTGGGTCTCATTCACTACTGTTCAGGTGATCCTAGTAATGGGTGGTGATGATCATAGTAATGGAAACAAGTGTGAAAAGTATCTTCATATATTATACCAAATTGTTTTAAACTCCCCTCCATCAGTAATTCAAACTAGTACAAATATAATAGTAATAGACTGTTGTACATTATCTTTAAGGTGTTGTTTATAATTGTGTTGTAACTACATGATTCTTCTAATCCCCACTTGCCTAAATTTTGATATGATCTCTATGCAGCCCATGACTAATCCAATTCGATTTTTAACCACATCTAGATATTTCCAATTATTAAATTTGATGGCTTCTTACTATCAAAATAAGTGAAAGGCATTTATATTCTATGTATACCAATAAATTTTGGAGAATAGTTTCTATAAATGTGCATTTTTATCACTGAATTTAAAAACATTGATCAATTGGTGGCATTAGTGGCATTTTAGTATTTCAGTTAACAAAATCATTTTATAGGGAGTTATTTTTCCTGCCACTCTCTCATTAGTTAGATTCCAGCCATGCTACAGTTTTAAGATTTTAATATACCTGTTATAATTTGAACTTTTTTTTTAAGATTTTATTTTATTTATTTGAGAGAGAGAGAGCACAAGAGGGGGTACAGTCAGAGGAAGAAGCAGACTCCCCACCAAGCAGGGAGCCCGATGTGGGACTTGATCCCGGGACTCGAGGATCATGACCTGAGCCGAAGGCAGTCACCCAACCAACTGAGCCACCCAGGCGCCCTAATTTGAACTTTTAATAAAGCTTATGGGCATTTGTATGTAAAGTGTTTTATAATCTTTAAAGAAACAACAGTCACATTTCTTGTCAGTGTCCTCTTTAAAAATTATCTTTCCTGGTTGGGGAAATGTTTGGTAACCTTTTTACTATGTCTGCTTCTTTGCAAAGCTTTGTTTTTAACAGAATAATATTCTATGCTAAAAGTAGTCACAATTTTTAGAAAGAAAATTGTTTAGTTGCTACTGTCTTATTATCTATATTGTTTTTCATTAAACAGAGTTGATCAAGAGCTTAATGGAAAACAAGATGAACCGAAAAGTGAACAGTAAGTTTGGCATCTAGTCCAAACAAGACTGAAGAATGTGCTGATGAAGCAGTGCTCTTTTTTGCATTTATAATGCATTTATTGGCCCTGATTTTTATGTAACCTGTTACAAAATTGACTTGACTCTTCCTTAATGGACTTTTGTATAAGGGACTGTTCACTGCTGTATTGGTTTGCAAATCTCTTGAATTTAGCTCTTTATTAGCTAATTATATTGTAATCATTTTATATTTTATATTGCTAAATAGCAGAGAACCACACTTTATATAAAGCAGTTTTTGCATTTGTTTGTTGAATGATGCATCATCTTCAGTAAACTATTTATATGCCTAAATGGTAAAGGAAAGAGATAATATATATTTTTATGTTTCTGAGCAATATTTTTTAATGTATACCTGTCTTGTGGAAGAATATGCAGGTAAATTAAGACCATGATTTGTAAAGTGCATGTTCAAATTTTTGTTTTTGTAAATGGTTAGATACATTTCCTGGGTAACTTAGAAAACAGAGTTGCTCATAAGGTGAGGGACAGTTAAACTGGTTCTCATGAATACCCAAAGGTCATGTACATAATCTAAGTAGATTAATACTATCCTAAGCTTTTTTTTCTCATTTAATACTGTTTCTTAATTCAGAAGTGCAAATACAAATGTATTGCACACTTTCTCCTCTTTAAACTTTAAAGACAAGTCAAAAAGCCATTTTTAGAACTAGAGAATTTAAGAGGCTAAGAAATGGGGTTTGTATATATGTATATATGGGACATTTTATCTTCTGGCCAGAAGTCAGAACTTTATAAAAATTTTAGGTCTGTTCACTAATGTGAAATAAGCTGTGTGTCCAGGGTATCACTCTCCAGAATTTGTGAGTGCAGTGTAGTATTCAGAGAATGTGATGAGTTATTCACTGTCCCTGTTTTTCTGTAGAAAATAGGGGCTGCTTTTTTAACTGCTCTCAATGTGGGCACTTTACCAAAATACTTCTATATCAGTTACTTAAACTTGATAGGAGGTAGGTGTTTGACCCAATCAGATTTGTGTATATTCACATTTTCTGTTGAATCATGTTGACAGTACTGTAAATTAAGTTATTTTGTAAGTCTTAGAGCATCATTACATTATGCTGTTCGGGATGACATTTGATATAAACATATAAACTTTTTAATTTGGTAAGTACCTTGACTCTACACTGAAATACATTGTACTGAGGTGCCCAAACAGAACTCAATTACCCACAAAATCATGCTAAAACAACAGATTGGTCTGATACTTTGTCATATGCTTGTGTGACTCATACACATGTGGAAAAATTAGTATCCTCCAAATTTGAGGATACTACCACACCCCAGCCCTTCCTATAAGGTAATTTACAAAAGAATGTCCTAGAATAGCAAAATTGAAGCTGATGAGAGCTAAGCTTTTAGGATTTATTCTGTCCCAGACTGAACACACATGTGGCTTTTACAAACATTGCCATTTTTCGTATAAAGTTTCTGTTAAAAAAGAGAATTTTCCTTTACTTTTTGTCCTCCTCAGTTATAAACTTGGCATGCTAACCTAAGTCCAATTATGGGAGATGCTGGAGGATTCCCAGGATGAGATATTCCTCAGCAGCCTTCTGACTTAACTTGGATCCAGCAGCCGTGGGCAGATCCTAAACTGTCATTATAGCAAATAAAACCAAAACCATTTTTGCTTGCTCAAACCTTAGAAACAGTTTGTGTTGAAAAAGCAAACTAATAATAACAACTTAGGCATTCCTTCTGAATTTACCATATGAGAATTACGAATAAAGGATCATTGAATTTAATTGTGATTAGAGTCTATATTTATAGAGCTCTTTAAGTAGTCTTTCATCTGTAAGTCTTTATCCTGTTCAAAATTTGCTGAACTTTTTAAATAGGTGGTTTTCCTCCACATAAAGTACACAGTTCTTCAGGTTCAACAGTTTATTGTGTTTATTCACTTTTGCTTTTGCAAGCATTGTTCCTAACTATAGATACAGCTTGCATTGTTCCTAACTATACAACTTGTTGCAAAAGTGATGCATTTTCCTAAATATTTTTTTAAAGTACAGGTAAACTTTAATCTATTAGAACATTAAAATTCAGAAGGAACAGTGTTAACACTTGGGATATAACAAGAGATGTGCTGTGAATCGTTGGATTAAACGACACCTGCTCTAACGCACACCTTAATGGAATCTGGTATAGGGACATGCCCTGTAATAAATGTTTCATAACTATAAGGCTTAAGATTATAATTAGTAGGTTAGAGGAAAAGCACTTAGGAAGTTTGTTATTTGTAATTTGTCACTATGTGACATTTCCCCCATATCATTCAATTTTAATTTTTCATTGCTGATTGAAAGTACATAAAATTGTATTATTTTATCTTTCTGCTGGGGTCATGGATCTAACTTAACTGGTGTGATTTGATTTTTGTCACTATATTTTGTCATACTTGGGCTCTGAGTCTCTTTAATCAAAAGTTTCTCATATAAAGTAATTTGGTTGTGTTCTGCTTGGTCATATTCCTAAGTATCACCAAGGAAAATGCTATATTGGCCTCCCACTTGAAGCTTAATAGCCTTTAACTCGGGTGGGGGTGTGGGGAGGGATAGGGTCCTAAAGAGGGCCTAGTGGGGTAGTTTGAAAGGAAGATAACAAAACAAGGAAGTAAGAGAAAGAACTCTAAAGGGGTAAAGAGTAGCTGTTATCTCAGATGTCACTGAATGTTTCCCTGTTAAGGGATGTACTGTGTATGGCAGCTCTTTGCACCATATAACAGGCTTTCTTGTATCCAACAGGAAAACCTGCAGGCTTCACACACAATATGTGAATTAAGACTGGAGTGAAGAGGGCAAAGGTTAATAATACCTATAATGAGAATTTATATTTTCCTCTGCCTTGTCTCTTCATACAGAAGCAAGTTTGAACAGAGAGGGTCAACAATTACAGTGCTCAAATTAAAGTTTAGGACCAGGTTATTTTTCATATTTTATGAAACGTGGTAAACATTAATGTAGTCTTCCAAAATGGACAGCACTATTTAGTAACTGCACTGAATACTGAAATTTGCTGATTGATAAAGTATATATCAGTAGCTAGAATTTCTTCAACTACAGTTTCAGAATTTAAAAAGGTAAAAGGTCTGCTTTTTGATAGAGACTTCTTGTAGATGACTATAGTGTTACTATTTGGCTGTTTTTATGTGAGTGCTCAGGGAATTTGGAAGTGTTTGATTTAGTGCAGAAGTGGCTTTTTTAGATTTCTTCAATTGAGAGGTAAATTAGCATTAGGATATTATTGGTTAGAACAGGCCAGTTTCTTGTTGAGATCGGTAAAAGTGTGTATATAAGGTGACAGTAGCTTCGTCCTTTTTCCTGTGTTATATGTGGAAAATTGCTAACATTGCTCAATCAGAAGGGAGAAGATAGGCTGAAAATAGAAATTTGCTAATCCATTCCATCATGTTTTCTTGCTTATTTTTTCAAATATTTAGACATTTGAGAAATGGATCACAAACCTCAAAAGGAAGGGATAGAGGAGTTAATGTGCTTATTAGTTAGACCAGCTATTCTGTTAGAGTTTATCCTTGTCACAGGAAACAGGAATTGTGTGATTTGAGTCACTGGGAGAAAGCATGAAGAATTTAGACTTGCCTGGGAAGGTCAGCTGGTAAGGGAAGTGGGAGATTTTCTACTCAGTGTTCTAATAGTACAGAAGAATTACCTAGGGATCCTTTCACTCACCTCTTCCGTGGTCCCAAGATTCTGAATGAATTAGAATCAGAGCAGTGGTGAGTCCCAGTAAAGTAAGTTTCTTTTAAAGTTCTAATGGCACTTGAAAATAAGTATTGTGTTGAACATGAGGAGTGACACTAAAATTTTAACATAGCTGTTGCTTTGTTGCAACTACATATGGTAGATCTACTTAATTTCTTATGTTTTGAGAATTACTTTTAAGAATACTATGAAAGGTTTACATAAAGCAACTTAAACACCTGATGAAAATCAAGGGTTAAGCTTTCAGATCGATAACGAATTACATTGAGCTGTTTGCTTCATATAGCTATCTGATTCTATCTTGTAAGACGTTCTGCAAGGGGTTGAAACATTTACATTTTGGAATCTTTGTGTTTTCACAATTGGTGTGGCTAAGGAGGAACTTGGAAAATAATACTAATTAGCTATTCCACTGCACTTTTTGTATACGAACTTTCTAAAGTTGTGCCCCTTAAACCATTTATTTACATAAACCTAGCTAGCAAATGTTGGAGGTGTGTTCAGGGCCACTGACTTGCACAGTCCATAGGACACTATTTACATAGAACACAACTCAGAGTGAGTTAGACACCTACACACTTTGATACAGATTTCAAAAATTCAAATATTTTTCTTAATGTAAGTTCACATGCTGCCATTTAGACACAGTGTGCTGTGATCATTTCACCATTATTCAGTTGATGTTGCCTAGCCTGGTGCTGTCATTTTACAGTGTGAGAAATTCAGTTCTGATGACTGTGTGCGCAAGATGTTGATGTGATCCCTGTAAGAAATAATAGGGTTGGTCTTGATTTACTGAGGAGATGTAATATTTTATTTTCCTTTGACTTGTTAGGAATACGGTAACTTGCGTCCTGATTTGTTGCACGTCATATTTTTGCAACGTTAATGAATTTAAATAAATTAATTGGAAAGTTTGTTTTTGACTCATTTTTGTCACATTTTTTGTCTTCCGTTATGCCACTAAGTTTTTACACTGAATTATCTCATAAGCCTTTCAAATAGTTTTATTAGACCTTTTGTTGCTCTTTCTGTAGTCGGGTGCTACTTCCTATTCTTCAAGGGAGTGAAGTGTCCATCCTGCTTTAGTTTTAAACATTACCTTAATTATTACACTTTGTATTTCATAGTTTAGAATCATTTTAGTAGTGGGGAATCTAACAAAATAAGTGGTAGAGATTCCACTTAGTAACACTTACGTATTTACTCCTTAATCACTGTTCAGCTACTTAATGGCAAACAGCTGTACACATTTTGCTGCCTTTAATCCACATTTAGGATACCATTTGGATTTATATAAACTCAATATATATTGAAGTGTTTGTCTTCCATTAGCTACAAATTTTAAATACAAATTTTCCCCACATGAAAATTCTTCAGGAATCACAGGAGCTTGCTGGGCTAAGTGAATTGCAGCCCTACTTTGAATGGTAAAGAAATCCTGCTCTAATCTTCAGAATTTGTCTTCAATTTAGTATTGCAGGGTCTTCAACAGCATTACCCAGAACACACTTTAGGCATAAAATGTGACTGCCCTAACATTCCTAATTGTGTAACAGTGGATAAGATTAATCTCTCAAAATTACAATTCCTTTATGAATGATTTAGTAAACCTGGTGAATTACTCGGAAAGGAAGCCAGTCGGCGAGTCTAGGGCTTGAAAGCTGCTGTCCCCACGCCCCTCCTCCCTCCGCACCCCGCCCTGCCCTGGCAAGTCTTGAGTGGCGTGTGGGAGCAGGGGCTGGGCGGGGCCTCCCGGCCCACCCGCGTACTGTCACTTCCAGGTTCGGCGAGCACTTCCGGGTCGTCGGCGCAGCTCTGCGGCTCCTGCGGCGGCCGAAGAGGTGGTTGGGAAGTAGGTGCTTCCTGCTGGGCTGCTCGCTCCTCTGCTTCTGTCCGCTCCGCGGCGGGAAGCGCCTTCCCCACAGGTACTTGGTGAGCCGGGCCCGCGCTCCCTGCGTCCCAGAGGTGGGGCTGCGGTCAGCTGGGTCTTCGAGGGCTGCGCAGAGGGCAGGGGCCCAAGGTGGGCCCGTTACCGACTTCGCTGCGGGGACGGCCCCGTGGCCGGTACCCGCGAATGAAAAGTGCGGGAGGCGGCGGGAGGCGGTTGCGTCCTCTGGCGGGAGGTTTGTGGTCCACCGGGCGCCAGCCGAACGGTCCTGGGGGAGGTCCTCAGCCCAGCGCGGTATTTTTAGCCGGGTGAATGTCTTTACGCATCCAGGGTTGTGTTGTGTGGGGTTGTGTTGTGTTGTTTTGGCCGAATATCAAGGGAGTGCATTCCGTAAGTGTCTCATTCCTATGCCTCTTCGCTTATTTGAAGTCTGCCTTAAACTTCAAGCCAGCTCCCACAGGGTAATGAATTTAAACAGGACTAGGACTACTGAGTTAATTACGAATGTGGAGCCCTTGTAATTTTCTAAACCGTAGAATGAACGAGCACGAAATTGACGCGGCGGATACCAGATCTAACAGATTTGAACATTTCATAAGGAATTTTTAAGAATCTAAGGTCTAAAGTCATTAAAGCAAGTAACTTGAACAAATTTTTAAATAACTTAGAGCTATTTTTTTAAATTAGTATTTATTTACTGAGGTATAATTGACACATAACATTAGTTTCAGGTTAGTGTTTTCGTTTTCTTCAGATAAATAGGAGAAGCGGAATTGCTGGATCATTTGGTAGTTCTGTTTTTAATTTTTTGAGGAACCTCCATACTGTTTTCCACAGTGTCTTCAGCAGTTTGCATTCCCGCCAACAGTGCACAAGGGTCCCATTTTCTCTACCTTCTCGCCAGCACTTATCTCCTGTCCTCTTGATAATAATAGCCATTACAACAGGTGTGAAGTGATATCTCATTGTGGTTTTAATTTGCATTTCCCTGATGATTCGTGGTGTTAAACATCTTTTCATATGTCTGTTGTTGATCTGTATGTGTTCTTTGGAAAAATGTCCATTTGGATCTTCTGCCTATTTTTTAATCGGCTTGTTTACTGTTGAGTTGTATGAATTCTTTATGTATTTTGGATATTAGCTTCTTATTAGATACATCATTTGCAAATAGTTTCTCCCATTCAGGTTTCCTTTGTTTTTGTTTTTTATGAACAACTATGTTTATTATCACTTTGAACCTCTTTATTTGGCTATATGCCTTGTGTTCAACATTCCAGTTTCACCTGACCTCTCACTTTAATATTTAACTCATATTGTGTATTTAGCATATATCTAAAAGTCAATATTTTGAATGATTCAAACTTCTATGTCTGTTTTACATCGACTCTCTCTACCGTATCGTTCCCCCAACCCCTGCAACTACCTATCTGTTCTTTGAATCTACACGCTTGTTTTGTTTTTGTTTTTTTTCCTTTTTGGTTTTCAAGTCCACATGTATCGGATATCATAGGTATATGCCTTTCTCTGTCTCACTTAACTTCATTTAATGATAATGCCCATGGTGTCTATTCCTGTTATAAATGGCAAGATTTCATTCTTTTTATGGCTGAATAATATTCCATTGTAATATGGAATTACATATTACAATTCCATATTGTAATTGGATTACAATTACAGTTGTAATTGTACCACAGTTTATCCATTTTCTTTATCCATTGATGGACACTTAGGTTGCATATCTTTTGAGTTAGTGTTTTCATTTTGGGGGGCTACTCAGTAGTGGAATTGCTGTATCATATGGTAGTTATGTTTTTAATTTTTTGAAGAACCTCCACACTGTTTTCCATAGTGCTTTACCAATTTACATTCCCACCAGTAGTGCATAAGGGTTCCCTTTTCTCCACATCCTCACCAACGCTTGTTATTTCTTGTCTTTTTGATAATAGCCATCCTAACAGATGTGAGGTGATACCTCATTGTGGTTTTGATTTGCATTTCCCTGATGATTAGTGATGTTGAGCATCTTTTCATGTGTCTGTTGGCCATCTGTATGTCTTCTTTGGAAAAATGTCTATTCAGATCTGCCAGTTTTTAAATTGAGTTATTCTTTTGCTGTTGAGTTGTGTGAATTATATATTTTGGATATTAATTTCTTATATGATTTGCAAATATTTTCTTCCATTCAGTAGGTTGCCTTTTTGTTTTGTTGGTTTTCTTTGCTGTGCAGAAGGTTTTTAGTATGAGATAGTCCCACTTTTGTATTTTTGCTTTTTTTGATTTTGCTTCCTCCAGCTTTGTTCTTTCTCAAGATCGCTTTGGCTATTGGAGGTTTGGTGGTTCCATACAAATTTTAGGATTGTTCTGTGTCTTTGAAAAATGCCGTTGGAATTTTGATAGGGATTGCATTGAATCTGTAAATTGCTTTGGGTAGTAAGGACATGTTAATAATATTAATTCTTCTAATCCATGAACATGGAATCTCTTTCCATTTATTTTGTCTTCTTCAGTTTCTCATTAATGTTTTGTAGTTTTCAACATACCAGTCTCTCACCTCCTTGCTTAAATTTCTTTCTAGGTATTTTGTTCCTTTTGATGCAGTTGCAAATGTGATTATTTTATTTCTGTGATAATTATTTTACTTTTTTCTTTCCAGTTTGGATGGCTTTTATTTCTATTTCTTGCCTAATTGTTCTGGAAGTACTTCCAGTACTTTGTCGAATATAATAGGGCAAGAGTCCTGTCTTGTTTGTGATCTCAGAGGAAAGGCTTTCAGCTTATCTCTCTTGACTGTGATGTTAGCTATGGGCTTGTCCTCTGTGGCCTTTATTATGTTGAGGTATGTTCCCTCTAAATCCACTTTGTTGAGAGTTATCATAAATGAATGTTGAATTTTGTCAGATGCTTTTTCTGCATGTATTGAGATGATCATATGATTTTTATCCTTCATTTTGTTAATATGGTGTATCATATTGGCAGATTGAGGCTGTTGAACCATTCTTCTATCCTTCGAATAAATCCCCCTTGATCATGGTGTATGATCCTTTTAATATATTGTTAAATTCAGTTTCCTAATATTTATTGAGGATTTTTGCATGTATATTCATCAGGCATGTTGGCCTGCAATTTTTTTTTCTTGTGGCATTCTTGTCTGGTTTTGGTTTCAGGGTAATACTGGACTCTTAAAATGAGTTTGGAAAAGTTTATTACTCTTCTATTTTTATTTTAAAGATTTATTAATGTATTTGAGAGAGAGCACGAGACTAAGTGCCCAAGTTGGGGGAGGGGCAGAAGAAGAGAATCTTCAAGCAGGCTCCCCGCTGAGTGAGGAGCCCAGTGCAGGGCTCAATCCCATGACCCTCCTCTTCTATTTTTTGAAAGAGTTTGAGAACTGGTACTAATTCTTCTTTGAATGTTAGGTGGAATTTATCAGTGAAGCCATCTGATCCTGGACTTCTGTTTGTTGAGAAGTTTTTGTTTACTGATTAAATCTCCTTATGAGTAATCGGTGTATTCAGATTTTCTATTTCATCATTATTCAGTTCTGTGTTTTAAGGAATTTCTTCTAGCTTGTCTAGTTTGTTGGCATGTAATTGTTCACAGCAGTCTCTTAAGATCCTTTCTATTTCTGTGATGTCAGTTGTAACATCTTTTTCATTTCTGGTTTATTTATTTGAATTTTTTTCCAGGTGAGTTTTACTAAAGACTTGTCAGTTTTAACTTTCCAAAGAGCCAGCTCTTTGTTTCATTGATAATTGCTAATTCTTTTAAATCTCTATTTCATCTCTATCTTTATTTTCTTCCTTCTGCTAATTTGGGGCTTCATTTATTTTGTGTGTGTGTGTGCATGTGTTTAGTTCCTTGAGGTGTAAAGTTAGATTGTTTGTGAGACTTTTCTTATTTCTCAAGGTAGACATTTATCAATATGAACTTCCCTCTTAAAAGTGCTTTTAATGTATCCAACAAACTTTGATATATGTCCATTTTCATTTGTCTCAAGGCATTTTTTTCTCTTTGATTTCTCCTTTGACCCATTGGTTATTCAGTAACATGTTGTATAATCTTCACACATTGTGAAATTTCTAGGTTTCTTTGTGTAATTAATTTTTAGTTTCATACCATTATGGTTGTCTAAGATGTTTGATATGATTTCAGTCCACCTAAATTCATTGGCTTGTTTTGTGGCCCAGCCTATGATCTATCCTGGAGAATGTTGCATGTGCACTTGAGAAGAATGTATATTCTATTGCTTTTGGATGGAAGGTTCTGTATATACATGTTAAGTTCATCTGGTCTAACATGTTGTTCTAATACCGATGTTCCCTCACTAATTTTCTGTCTGGATGATCTATGCATTGATGTAAATGGAATATTGAAATCTCCTACTGTTATTGTATTGCTGTCTATTTATCCCTTTAGGTCTGTTAATATTTTCTCTGTATGTTCAGGTGTTCCTATGCTGAGTGCACAAGTATTTCCAAATGTTCTGTTTTGTGTTGGATGGACCCCTTTATCATTATGTGACACCCATTTTGTCTCTTATTACAATTTTTATGTTTAAGTCTATTTTTTTCTGATACAAGTATAGCTACATTCGCTTTCTTTTGGTTTCCATTTGCATGGAATATCTTTTTCCATCTCTTCACTTTCGATCTGCATGTGTTCTTAAATCTAAAGTGAATTTCTTATGGGCAGCATATAGATGGGCCTTGGTGTTTTTCGTTGTTGTTTTTTTATGCATTCAGCCACTCTCTGTCTTTTGACTGGAGAATGTAGTGCATTTACAGTTAAAGTAATTATTGATAGGTACGTACTTACTGCCATTTTGTTAATTGTTTATTGGCTGTTTTTGTACTTCTCTTCCTTTCTTTTCTTGCTCTCTTTGTGGTTTGATGACTTTCTTTAGTGGTATCCTTTACCTTTTGTGTTTTTACTATAGGTTTTTGCTCTGTGATTACCATAGGCTTACATATAACAATTTATGTCTATAATAGTCTATTATTTTTAAGTATAAGTAACATACAGTGTTAGCATATCAAT